TAGATCAGATAAAATACATAAATATAAAAAATCTAAACAAAAATTTATAAAAAAGTTTTCTCCAAATACTAAACATAAAAAGAAACTTCCAGTATGTTATAAATGTGGAAAAGTTAGCTATTACAAACACCAATGCAAATTAAAAAAGAAAATAGAAGCATTACACCTAGATGAATCAATCAAATCAAAATTATATAATATAATCAATTATGATACAACCTCCTCAAATTCTACTGAATCAATTATAGGAAATATCGAAGATGACGACGTAATATAGACAGAGTCATCTGATTCTTCAGATTCTTCTACTAATACAGAATCATCTCATCAAATGGAAGAATCCACTTGCACTTGTCCTATACCCTCACATAATTTTCATATGCTTATCCAAGAAGATAATTTAATCTTAGATCTCATAGAACATATTACAGATCCAGAAGAAAAAAGATCTGTGATTACCAATTTTATTAATTTAGCCAAAACAAAAGCAAAAACACCTCTTATTAGTAAAACACCTGATGAATATAATTTTGCCTCTATTATGAAAAGAGTTAGTGAACAACAACTCACTAAACAAAAAGAACCTTCTATTTCCGAACTTAAACATGAAATCAACGAAGTTAAAAAAGAGGTTCATCAATTAAAAAATAGAATTAAAATACTAGAATTACAAAATTTATCTTATCAAAATTCAGATACAGATGAAATTGACTTCAATCATCTAGTCACAACATATAGTCCTGATCCACCAGAAGATATACCAGAAACCTCAGAAGCTAAACTATTTCTGATCACAGAACAAATTTTTTCTGTGAATCTGATAGATAAAATTATGATTCAAAAATGGTTTGTTCAAGTCACTATTATAGTTGCTGAAGATTATCGATTTCAAACACCAGCTTTAATAGATTTAGGTGCTGATCTTAATTGCATCAATGAAGGATTAGTACCAACAAAATATTTTGACAAAACAACTCAAATCCTAAATACTGCAGATGGCAGTAGACTCTTTATCAATTATAAATTATCTAATGCTTCTGTTTGTAATAATCATCAATGTATCAACACACCATTCATCATGGTCAAAGGATTAAGCCAAGCTGTTATTCTTGGAGTCCCATTTCTTACATTACTATATCCCTTATCGATAGATCAGACAGGAATATCTTCTAATTATCAACATGTACCAATACATTTTGATTTTATTCATAAACCAAAATTAAAAGAAATCAATAGTATCAAAAATCAATTACAAAAAAACAAAAAAAAATTGTACTTTAAAACAAGAAATTAAATATAAATATGTGGAAGAACAAATACAGAATCCTTTGATCCAACAAAAGATTCAATACATTCAACAATAGATAGAAATCTCTATCTATAGTGAGCATTCCAATGCTTTTTGGGAAATGAAAAAACATAGTATTAGTCTACCATATGAACCTGAATTTGATGAAAAACAAATCCCTGCTAAAGCTCGACCAATACAAATGAATACTATTTTATTAGACATGTGTAGAAAAGAAATTGCTGAACTCCAAACAAAAAAGCTAATAAGACCAAGCGCATCACCATGGAGTTGTGTAGCTTTCTATGTCAATAAAAATACTGAAAAAGAACAAGGAATTCCAAGATTAGTCATTAATTATAAACCTCTAAATAAAGTTTTACAATGGATCAGATATCCTATTCCCAATAAAAAAGATTTACTAGATCGAGTAGCCAATGCTTGTATATTTTCTAAATTTGACATGAAGTCAGAATATTGACAAATACAAATCCAAGAAAAAGATAAATATAAAACAGCATTTAATGTACCATTTGGACAATACGAATGGAATGTAATGCCATTTGGCCTAAAAAATGATCAGAATTTCGGAAAATAATGAATGATATATTCAATGCTTATTATCAATTCATGATAAGTTTATATTGATGATGTCCTGATTTTTTCTGAATCCATAGATGAACATATTAAACATATTAACATTTTTATTCATGCAGTCCAGAATGCTGGCTTAGTAGTATATGTAAGAAAAATTACTTTATTCAAAACAACTATTAGATTTCTAAGACATAATATCCATCATGGTACTATTATTCCTATAGATCGATCCATACAATTTGCTGATAAATTTCCTGATCAAATACTAGATAAAAAAGAACTTCAAAGGTTCTTAGGATGCCTAAATTATGTTAGTGATTTCTATCCCAATCTTGCTATAGATGCTAAACCTTTACATGCTAGATTAAAAAAGAATCCTCTACCTTGGACGGATATTTATACCAATGCAGTCCAAATAATCAAACAAAAAGTCAAAACTCTTGTTTGCCTTGCTCTTCCTCATCCTACTGCTTTCAAAATAATTGAAGGTGACGCCTCAGAGTTGGGATTCGGGGGCATCCTCAAACAACGAATAGATGGTTATGAACAACTACTCAGGTATACCTCTAAAGCTTGGAATCTAACCCAACAAAACTATTCTATGGTAAAAAAAGAATTACTTACAATTGTCTATTGCGTTACCAAATTTCAAAATGATATTCTCAATCAAAAGTTTCTTATTCGAACTGATATATATATATGAGAAATAATTTCATACAACGGTCGTCTAATAATATAATGAAACAATATTAAAAAAAAACCATGTCATTGCCATTCGTTTAATCTCAATTTTTAAATATAGACTCTTTTCATTCCAATAAACAATCATAAAAATATTTCCATCAAAAGAACAATAACCTTCTTATAAATATAAACAACCTTCTTATAAATAATAAACAAATATTTATCTCAAAATAACATGTACCACCACATGTAGAATAAACAAAAAATTGTCTACAAAGAGCCCATTTACTTTTTGTACAATGAGGTCATAGTTATTCTCAAATTGGATGTCAAATTGGATGGCTTGGGATGAATCATCAAATCTGAGAATTTCTTTTTGAAACTGTATCTAATGAATGACACTCTTACAACCACCCATTTTGAAATCTAAGAGATAAAAATGATTGTAACCTCATTATACAAAAAATAAACGGTCCCTTCGTAGATAATCCCATAAACAAATAAGACATTTCATTACCTTGCCATCAGTTTTTGAGAAATTCCAGACCTTTTTACTTTATTACAAATGTATGCCTATTCTCTGTCTCCTTCATTTATGTTTATGTGGCATATTTCAGATTATGTGGCTACATGAAACTTAAAATAAAATAAAATAAAAATTATCATGGCAAGTGCAAATCAACGAAAATTTCAAGAGGGCAAATGAGCCTCACAGTCTAGATACATGAATTAAAGAGCTTGACTCTGTCTGGTTTTCGCTCGAATTTCCAACATTACATACAGACATTTTCCCAAGCTCACCTCCTGAATTTGAAGCAGAATTACCTATACCTGATATTTTCTTATTGGGGGAACATAAATAAGTAACTGAATGTAGCCATGGAACTAATATGGGTTTTCTCACAACATCATCAGAACTTGCAACTTGCGAATATATCTCGTTAAGCACCATAATCTGCCTTTCTGCTGCAAGTTGAACGACAAACTGTGCTAAGCGCTTTAACAGATCAGGGAGTACCTGGAATGTATGGAAATAAATGAAGCATTACGCCATTAACACCTAATAGTATCCAACCTACATAAATATACTGATTATCCTCAAAGATGGATCCATCAGTTTATATTTATTGTTGACGGATCAAAATGTAAACATCATTGTGATAAGATTTGGATGATGATGATGATGATAGATCTAAATGTAAACAAATAAAGCATTCTCCAGACAAGGCATGCCATCAGTTCATAGAAAACTAGACAATTAAGGAATACAATGATCTGGTGTTAGATCTGGTGTTTATAAGGTAGCATTATGAGAAGTTTTGATGTACGAAAACAATATAAAACCATGGGAAATAATGAGAAATGTAGCAAGAGCAAAAATCCAAGAGGAAGAGAGTGCTGAACGTCCAAATCCATGTCTTAATTTCTCCATTTTATAATAAAAAACTTACAAACCTCCCAAGGAAAACAATCAAAACTATTTACCCCTAGGGGTTTTCTAAATAAAAATCTGCTCTAAATAAGAGCCATTCTATCAAAAGTACTCTGAGTAAAAGTAACAATAATCTTTAATGACCTTTTTCTTTTCCAAACCCAAGTTTTCAGCAATAACTTTTTAATACGATTAGAACAAATTGACAATCAATAATGTGAGACTTCAACACAAAATGTTCAAAAAATTGATAAGAGACCGGTGCAGGGAGGGTCATGCAGGATACTAGACCAGCATGAAAAGCAAATATTTTTTCTTCTTTTAATTGCAAATGTTGCGGGTAGAATCAGTGACTCGCTCAAACCGTCATCTTGTCAGTGTAGACAAAAATGGCAGCAATATTCTAAACGAGAAACAAAGAAAGAGTTCATAAACAACAAGACTGAAGAGCGAAAACCTTCAATAAAAAACCAGATAACTGATGAATGTAGTACTAAAAATTCTATTGCATTGTCCTTAAATAAGGGCACGCTCGCACATGCGATATGAACTGTCATTTTAACCAGTGTTCGGACTTGGCCTACTCAGCCTAGCTAGTGGCCGAGGCAAGTTGCCGTGTCCCTAGCCACTAGCCAAGCTCCAATGTACCCACTCCGGAACATGGGAAAGCTTACAATACATGCTGAGTGAATACCGCCGGACTAGCCCAGGCACTCTAGCACTTGGGCTGACTCGCCTGAGTTCTACAATACTAGGGTCAATCCGTAAAGTACTCACCTGAGTAACTGCACAGTGTGATTCAATGTAAAAAGGGGATGGAAATCTGACGCGCACAATATTCTAAAAAAATGGTCTGCCTGGCGCCTAGGCACCCAAGACACCTCTGGCAGCACGCCTAGACCTGGGCGCCCCATTCTAGCGGTTGTACTTGGTGGGCACCCAGCGCTTAGTTCTGAGTGGGCGCCCAACGACAGTTCCATAAGGCCTCAATCTCTTAGCTATACCTATAGTGTAGATCGAGAGATGTATGAAAACTTGAAAATCTTTAAACTTGACGGTCCAAAAATGCGTTACAAAATACACTATTTCCAAAACTTGAAATCCATTTTTGTCTTATGTCCGTGCATCTTGATGTCGAGATGATCAATTTGAGGAAATTTAGGCATCAAAACAATCTCTTCTAGTGAAATTTTTTAGGTAGGTTCGAATTTGATTGTTTAGAGCCTCGGCTCTATATAAACTTTTCCCATATCTAAATATATATATATATATATATATAAAGAATCTACACTACAAATGAGGTTCTGGGCACCAGGCCAGCCGCTTACGGACTGGCTAGTGTTTTTAAAACCTTAGGGCCCGCATTATATATATATATATATATGGGATAATCTAAACTTCACAACCCTTCTAATTACAAAAGTTCAAGATAGAGAGAGCTGTGAAGGGTGGATTTATTATTTTTGTAGTCTTTTTTTAAAAAACGTTACTTTTGTGGGGCAATTTTGTAAATATTACTACAAGACAATTGGTACTTTTGTTATCTACAAAAGGGGTAAAATTCAAATTTTAACTAAATGACAAAGGCATTCTACAAATAAAGTTTCAAGACACTAACTTCCAAAATGCCATTGAATAACATAAAAAAGTAATCATTGTTTTGATAAATACACCCATCACAACCCCCTTATATATATATATATATATATATATATATACGAACAACGT